TTCCAAAATACTTCATTTTATGCATAAAACAGTGTATTTCACTTATGGAATTTAACTAAGCTTGCTTACTAAAACTAGTTAAGCAACCAATAATTCAGAAAAACCATTGCAATATATGATAGTGAGCTCACTTTGGGATGGAGGTGACGTAAGTACTTATTATCTCTCCAATACTAATGCTAATTAATTCAAAAGCTATATATTGAAAACATACCACTTAAAGTAATAAACAAATTTGTTGTTTGAAAATCATTAACTTCTTTAACATAATATAGGGATGATCATAATTGGCATCATCACTTTTAATTACCCAAGAATTATAGATTGAATCCATCAAATGTCTGTCAAAAGAAAACAATTGACTGAAACAAGAGTCTAAAATTAGATAAAAATTTATGGAATCTGAAAAGAATCCCAAGACATTACTTTAATACTGATGAACAACTTTAGGTCTCCAACTATACTACATGTTTTATCTAATAAAACAGATTAAAAAATTCATAGCTTATAATTTGACTATGTAAAATAATAGAATGCAATTTCAGCATGGATTGTTACCACATGTACATTTGATATTACAGAGGCTCAGAGAATTGCTTAAATTGTGTAATTACAAAAATGGTACATAATCTGAGCTGAGCAACAAATACCTCAAGACTGGGGGCTTCCCTGATAGCTCAGCTGGCAAAGAACCCTCCTGCAATGTGAGAGACCTGGGTTCAGTCCCTGGGTCGGGAAGATCCCCTGGAGGAGGGCATGGCAACCCCCTCCAGTGTCTGTGCCTGGAGAATCCGTGGACAGAGGAGCCTGGCGGGCTGCGGTCCACGGGGTCGCAGAGTCTGATGTGATAGAGACTGAGGACAGCACAGGGGATTTATCAGAGGAAAAAACAGACGAGAGGCAAATGAAGCCACAGGGTTTCCAGCATGAGTGACCATGAGAATGACACCGGGGACAGAGCAGGCGTCACAGTCTAGGAAGGGAAGATGATGAGCATCTAACAGGGCTTTAATGGGTTCACCTAGAAACAACCAACAGGCGTAACACTCCATTTAAAGGCAACGGTGCTTTTTCAATTAAAATAACTGAGTTAGAATAACATTCCTTTAAAGAAAAAACACCAAAAACAAACAAAAGCAGAAAAACCAGTTGGTTTTAAATTTAAGGCTGCTTATTTAGTTGATCTTTCATTATAATGCTGTAACTCACAGAAATTTTACTTGAACGCCTACATGCTGACACAATTATTTCTCTTGGTCTGGAATCTGATCCACTGGATGCCAGAAAAAGACTCATGTCTTCCTCGACACCTCTGTATTTTTTACATCATCCTGACAAAGAAGAGTTACAAACTGTTCAGACCCCTTTCCACATGAAGGGTTCAAATAAATCCTGCACACATTCCTCTTCCATTATCTCCTGACAAAGACCTTTTTTTAGCTACTTTAGAAAATCAAACCTATCCACCTTGAGTCTTTTCAGTGATCAGCAGGGGCTCTCAAATGTGGGGGAGACACAAATGACACCTTTTATAGGGCCCAGTTTTCTCATTTTAGTATCTGGTAATAGGCATAACTAAAATAATTTGTTTTCCAGGTCACAATCCATTGTTTTTAAAACTGAGCCATTATTTTCGTAAAAAGTTATCAGCTTTGCATTAGGGAACAAGAAATCTTCTCCACAACACTTTTTAAATTGTTGGGATGAGAGAGTTCTGTATCATACACAGCAACAAAACACAGGACTTGCTGGAGATTTTGCTTAATAATCTAAAAATATATTTATTTTGGATAAGAGGTATGTTATGACTAAAATGAAAATTTGATAGTATACTATTAAGAGAGAATTACAATGATAATAGGGCAGCAGTACCAAAACTCTATTTTGGTAGAAACAGAAATTCTATTTCAAAATTCTATTCCCAATATTGATAACAGGTTTCTTATTTTCAAAGAATGCATTATATTAATGCTTCATTCTGTTTTCACAGATGCAAATCAAAGTTAATATTTAAGTATCTCTTTCCAAATGTTAGGGGAGGTAATGTATTTATTTTTATCAAACTGCTTGCAAACTGTTTAATCTTTAATCATTTGTTATTTGTTTTCTTATTTTGATGAAACAGAAATAGTATGACTAACATCATACTTATACCATAAGTATAAGTATTAGAAGCAAAATACAATTTTAAAATATGTTAAATTAACTTAATATGTAAGAATTAATTATATATACCTGAGCCCAGATATTTTATGTATCTAAGAAAAACATGTTATTTCTCAAAGGTACACAGCATGGTATAGTGGGAAGTTCCCCAAGTAAATATCAAAAATTCTGGACTCTGAAACTAATTCGGACTTCACTTAGAATTTGACTTTCAGTTTTAAAAAATAGAGAGAGAAATGTATTTTTATCTTCCCTATTGTGTAGGGTTGATATATATTGATCATTATAAATGCTGAAGTATTTTGAGTATCAAGGACTCAGTGGACACAAATAACTCTTCCCTGCACTGAAAGAATGAATCATCTCCTCCTTGGCTATCTAGAAACTGTTACGGAACTTACAGTGTACTTGTGGCAAAATAATTTGTGACTATGTCTAGCCATACAGTTGACTTGAAGTTCCTTTTATTTCTAATAGAAAAACTAAATTTTTATTGACTTTAACATCAATGAAAAATATCTTCAGACATAACTTTCAATAAACTACAGCATCATATTGTTATTGACAATTATTAATAACAACAAGGCAAACATTTTGGTGAATACAGAATATCATGAAAAAAATCACAGAATGCAAAATAACACTTTATTCCTTTTGTTTATCAGTGTTTCCACAATTACTATATTATTTTACTCTCAATTTTTTTCTCAATTTTTAAATAATGATTTTTATACCTTGCCCATATGCACATAATTCATTTTTCCCCCCACTGAAAAAAAAACAACCAAGTATCCACAAACTTGTCTACCAATTTTTTTTAACCTAAGTTTTTTTCAAATGTTAATCCTTTGGTTAACTTCTGTCTCATTGTCTCTGCTTTTCCTCACTTTATCCTCTGAAAAAAATGGAATCTTTGGAAAATCTTTATACTCATTATTAGAAATCTTTCATGTTTTCTTTTCCTCTCCCATTGAAAAGGACCTTGGTAACTAAGGCACATTCTTCTTTGTGTTATAACACTGATCATAATGTTTTGCTACAAGATGTACTGTACTACTCAAGCAATTTTCTATATTTCTCTAATTTGTATCTTTCACTCAGAACATAACATGGAGCAGAGATAATAAAGATTCAATAAAGAATCAAGTATAAAATCAGTTGTGTTTGCTCTATGATAAAAGCTTTATCTGTTTTGCTCTGATTTCTTTTGAGACAGCCAGATACAATATATTATACTTTTGTGTTTTTATCACAACTACTCCTCGGTTGAAATAGTTATAAATACAGAACAGTATGTCCTTAGTAAGTATTGGTTTTTATCATAGAAATATCCTTAAGATATGATCTGCTGAACTGTCATTAAAATGAGTCACCAGTCTACATGAAACCAGACTTACCAAGATGATTACTTGTCTTATTTTCATGCTTCTTCATTTAACTTTTCCTCTGCCAAAACTAACATCTTATTTTTTGGGGGGATGTTTTTACTGAGATAGTGGTATCAATTATTTCTCCAAAATCATCGTTTTATAAAATCCAAGAATATCTGTATTGAGTCTGTTGTCTGATCTGACTGTGCAAGTTAGAATTTATAAGCTCATCAGCAGTATAATTCTTATTCAAGATTTGTTCATTCTCTATACATTCAGGTGTTTATTGGTTTCAGAAACCAGAGTATCTACTACATTATTCTTGATGTCTTGTTCAGGAATTATCCAACTGTGAATCTCCACAGAAATTACTTGTGGCAAATGTTGACTTGTATCTTCCAGAAGCTTTTCCTTCCACCACTGCCACTGATGCCCCTTGCATATCTCATGATGACTGTCATAGTCCATACTGAGTTGTGTGATTGACCCCCTGCCCACCCCCCAAAAAAAAATCACAGTGGCATTTTGACCTGGTTTATCTTTTCAAATTGGACTCTGTGAATGACTTGATAAAATACATGTGGATTACTAGATCTACTATGAAATATCTTTGTTGTTGGCCCTTTCACACTGTATTTTCTTAACAAGTTGTGGGAACGGGCTATAAGGGTAGATTTTAAGAGACAGTAATTGCTGCAATTAAGTGCCTCTGAAGAAGAGACTAGGTTTTTTGAATCTCCATATGCCTCTTTCACAGATAAAATGCCCAGGAAAGAGTAACTGATTAAATCAATAAATGAACAAATGATTGCTAAAACAATAAATAAAATATCAAATATTATTAAAGAGTAGAAATAAGCCCTTTGTTACTAAAAGATTGAAAGCACAGGCTTTTCAGTGAAAACTCTTCCCTTGATTTCACTAGTGTGAGAAATGTCACTAACAAACAGCTAGTAAACTATTAGCGGGCTCTCTGATTCTCTCCCCATCGAAAATAGAGCTCTCATTTGCTGTTTCTCATTTTCCTTGGTTTCAATATGTCGACCTTGGTCAATTTCAGGCTACTGTGATGACGTCATTTAGGGAACGCGACGGGCACGCTCCGCGTCCTCCTCTGGCGGCAGGAGCGGGCGCCGGCGCATCACGCATCACCGTTCTTGTAGTGGCTTCCGCTCTGCATCTGTTTTGACTCCCACTGTTGGTATTTTCTTTCCTATTTGGAAAATGTATTGCTAAACTCCAGGTAAGCAAACTTAATTTTGTGTTTGTTTTTTAATGAAATCTCAAGGGAGTTCGGAGTTAAAGTAGAGCTTAATAGATTGTTTGGATCAACTAAGTTCCAAAGAAATGCGCACGAGACAAACCATTCCACTGGTGGCTGATGAAATTCACTTAAGAGTTCTTCAGACTACTTAGTTTGGCTCAAGAACGGAGACAGAAAGAATGCAGGTGCCCGTTACTTACTCAATTGTGTTCCGATCCACTTTTCCGGTCATGTTGATGCCATAGAACTGCTGCATGGCGGCTAAGGCGGACTGCATGGTCTCCGCGGAGCGCAGCACCGACATCCGGGGCCCACTCGGCGGGAGGTACCCGTACTTCTGTAACCAAACCTGCAGTAACAAGCACAGTAACTCTCAGGTCGGCTTCACCATCTTACAGTGTTTTTATGGCAATCTGTTTATGTCTATAGGTGACTTTAAACTTCATTTCCTCTTTAAGGGCGTATCTTATTTAACTGCTTTGTCTTTATTAGCTTTAAGGCTCTTTTTCATAATTTCATTGCTTGTTACAGATCTAACAGATCCACAAACTCTAATTGTAAAGAAAAAGATTAATCATTTGTCACAAGCTTAGACAGTATAAGGTACTACAGTAGATACTGGATAAAATCACAGATAAGATCATTTCTGCCCTCGAGGAACTCAGGGTCCCAAAATGAAGATTTTTTTTCAACAGTATGACCCCACTGAGACGTCTATGCAGGAAGGGGAAGTTAAGGTACATGTGCCACATCTAAAGTGTCAGTTTCCTGACCAGTCAGAGCACTGACCACAGCTCCCATAAGCATCATCACATGTGGCCAATTATTCTATAATGACATTCAGGGTATGAATTCTATGCAACTGGTCTAGCCAAATGTAACTAGATATCTTCAAGAACAGAGGAAAGTTTCTCATGCAAGAGATATCCTTTCACTTATTCACAGTGGTTCACCTCAAACCAAATCAAGCAAGTGACCAAGCTTTTCACGTACAGATGGAATCAGACTGTTTTGTTAAGAATATCTGGCTCTCTCCTTAGGGATTTTCTTATTCCAACTCTGCTCAGTTCTAGGGAAGAGAGATTTAGGGGGATAGTGAGAGGAAGATGTCGGTGTTGAGCCTGGTCATGATTACAGCCAAAAATCAGAGTCATTTCAGGTTAGATTTGTTTTAAATAACCAAAACTTGGGTTATTTGAGGGGGTTGGGGAGAATCTCTACCACGGAGCAGATGGTTTCTAGTCTTACAGTTCCATGCATTCATGTTAAATGCACAATTATATGCCCAGCCCATATCTTATTCCATTGTCTCTTATTTCAATCTTCCATAGAGCTCTAAGATTTCTTAAAGCGCAGTGAACTACCTGTCAAATGCAGAAAGGCCAAGTAATTCTGACTTGAAACAGAATAAAAGTTTCTCTATTGAATGGAAGATATTCACCAGTATGTGTTTCCCCTGATACCTGAGCCTACTCATCATACAAATAATAATCCTATGAAATTGCAGCTTTCCCCCAATACCTGAGACAATTTCATTATGACCTTATGGAATTTATGACCTTAAAACACAAAAACTCTATTTTCTCACTGAACATAAACAGTAATTATAGAAGTTAAATTTCACCAAAAGAACTTGATATTAAATACATCAAAGTCTTAACATGTAAAATATATGGTAGAATCTTTTGTGGTATGTCCAAGAAATCAATCCCCCCAAAATACAGCACAACCCCTTGAAAATAAGATAAAACATTTATTCTAAAACTATTTAAGAAATTACCAAATGCATCACTGTCAGGAAGGTTTATTGCTGAAACTCCCATCTAGTAGATTCATCTACCATATAGTGAAAACATGTGAAGACACTCTTCTCATCTAACCTATAGTGAATAGGCTGCCAGTGAAGACACATATTTAGTATCCTAGTCAACTGAAATAGTGCAGTATGAAACAGACCTTTTTCCCCCTGAATGAAGGAGAAAGATTTAACTGGCAAGATATTATTTGCTAGGAAATTCAATATGATTGCCATTCAATTTCACCCAAATTAGAAGATTCCATCGTGCTTTTTAACAGTACCCTTGCACAAATATTCTGAAATTGAACTCTTTATTTCCCCAAAACATTTTGTTTGCATCCATTCCTTATTTGCTATAGAGCTGACGTTGCTAGGTTACACACAGGTGCTAAGCTACTGGCAATCATGTTTATGAGAATTGCAAGAAAATTGTTAATAAGCCCTATGATTTATATATAAATAGAGAAACTATAAAATGTATAAATTTAAGTGCACAGTGAAAAACAGCATGTTCTAAAATATACATATTTGATTTATGACTTAGCCTTTCAAACAAATGAGTTAGAATTACATAAAAAAATGAATGATTATACTTCTTCAAGTTTTATATCATATCATTCATCACAAAAGGCTTTTTTTCCAAATGAACGAGATGTGAAGAAATGTTTTTAATTGTAAAATATCAGAAAGGCTAGCTCTACCATTTTATGATCCTGACTAACAAACCAATGTCAATAAGATGATGGGTCACTTTGAGTTGACCTGATCATTTTTAATATCATTGTTGTATGTTAGTCAAGAAATTTTCTCTGACATCAACAGCTGACCAGGAGTAATTCTCAATTGAAATTTGCAATGCATCTCCCCACAAAAGAGTGGAAAATCAAGGATGACTCTATTTGTTATCATATTAGAGTATGAAGCCAGCAAGCTCTCAATAATATTTCTTATTGGAGTAAAACATGCTGTAGACAACCTTACCCCAGGTCAAGTTAAAAAGCAAGTGACTAAATCTACAATGCTTTCAAGTATAAATTTTATCTTGTATGCTTATATACATATATAGTATTCAATGTGGAAAATATAGATGAAAAGAAGTACCTGCTTAATTTTTTTTTTAATCACCAAGGGGTAACTTCTCTTGAGTTCACTTTTGCTTTATATTATTTCAATTAAGCTGTTGAAACCACAGCATTCTGAGAGTCTGATCATTTTTGGTATGATAGGGAAAAGGTCTATACAAAATAGTCCTAAGCAGTAAGAAGCTAATGTTCTTTGGATAAGAATAATTTGGTCAACACAGTGATGCAAAACTAGCCAAGTAAAAGCTGAACTGTACACTCAGCATCAAAGGAAGGAAACCTCTCTGGTCAAATCAGTGCCTTGTAAACACTGATACTTGTTACCAATGAATTAAGATCAGGTTCAAATAGTGAAGATCAGGAATAAACACTGACTTGAAATCATCATATAAGCATAGGAGTCTCTGGGATAAGTAAACTTATTTTCCCCTTATAGAATAAAACATGCTTATTGTACAAATAGAGCAAGATAGGTGCCTTAGCACTTCGTCATTCTGTAATAGTGAATGGGAAATTGGGACACAAAAAGAAGTGACACAGGAAACAACCTTCATTCATAACTCTCTTTTGCTTTCTACTAAATTATAATCTCTTATTTGATTAAGAAAAACTAAATCTACAAAGTAAAACTTGAAGGTATGCCTTATGCTACCAAGTCTATACTATAGACCTCCATCCTCATACATTTGTTATTTTAAATATATTCCTATTTTCAATATTAAAAAACATATTGCTTCTCCTGGTTGATTGAAAATAAATTTGATCTATAATTGTTTGTGCCTTGATGCCTTTTTCAATGTTTTCAAATGCACATACTGGATAATCGAGGAAAATTTTCTTCATGGGTGTGCATTTGGGGGAAATGATAGTGAACTTGTATGGTCGATGTGAGGGTTGAGAATGTATAAAGTCACCAGCATAATGTTTGTTCAGTAAGTCATATTATTATTTTATGATTACTGACTTGTCTGAGCCCTTGAACTTTTTCCTAATGAAATTAAGATCTGTCCCTGGAATGAGCAAGACTGAAAATGGAAGTGAGATGTAAGTAGTCAGAATTGTGAGGAAAGGGAAACTACAGAGGATACAGAATCATATACTGCTTGACTAGTCCCCAAGTCCCAAACAAAAGGGCGGATATAAAACACGGCCATCGGTTTCTATTTTATTTTGCTCAAGGGATTGGCATGTGTATTTGAGAGCATAAAAAGTGTTGAGACAAAGGTTTCTCTGAGAGAAAACTTGACTCCTTTTACAGCCTATCTCATTACACCCAGAACAACCAACTACAGAAATTCAACTGGTTCAACACAATTTAAGCTTGAATTACATTCTCTCTGTATTACTAATATATTCAAATACCTTGCTGTCTTGGAGACAAAACCAATTTCCTCACTTAGTGATTATCTAAATGGAGGTACAACCAGAAGTCTGTTTTTTTTGCAGAGCAAGAAGATATATCAGGCAATAAAAGGCCAAACCTTTAATATTAAGTTCTGTACCAATAGATTTTGCCATTACTAGAGTGTGATATAAAGAAGGAGGAGCAGGCATTCAATATTTCAGTAAACTCTTTGGGAAAGAATGTCTTTGTCACTAATATATAGTATAATCATATAGTGAAAATCTATATTAGTTGATTCAGCTATGCTTATCCATATAGCAAGGTGGTACCCTGAAATATGGCTTTAAGCAGTAATAACAGCATAAAGGAGACATGAATAGTTCTTATGCCTAATGGAAAATGTAAGAGAGCACTTCTAGAATATATGCCCTTATTTCATCTCTCAGGCCAGTAATAAAATCTATAGAAATAAATCTCGATCCAGCTGTTGAGACTAATAAGTTTTGTTATTGTTGTCTGAAGTCACATTTGAATTTTTGTGACCCCATAGACCACAGCATGCCAGCCTCCACTGTCCTCCACCATCTCCCGGACTTTGCTCAAAAATTCATGTCCATTGAGTTAGTGATGCTATCTAACCATTTCATCCTCTGTGCCCCCTTCTCCTTTTGCCTTCAATCTTTCTCACCTTCAGACTCTTTTCCAATCAGTCAGCTCTTTGCATTAGGTGGCCAAAGTATTGGAGCTTCAGCTTCAGCATCAGTCCTTCCAATGAATATTCAGGGTTGACTTCCTGTAGAACTCACTGGTTTGATCTCTTTGCAGTCCAAAGAACACTCAAGAGTCTTCTCCACCACTACAATGCCAAAGCATTAATTCTTTGGTGGTAAGCATTTTTAATAGTCGAGCTCTCACATTCAGACATGTAGTTCAGTCACTGAGTCATGTCAGATCTTTGTGACTCAATGGACTGCAGCACCCCAGGCTTCCCTGTCCTTCACT